TCTTTTTTGTCGGTGGAAGTGCTTTCAATTCCTTCTCTCTGAGGCTTTTGGACGCACTTCTCGCCTACGCCTTTTGGATCTCAGGTTGCAATCTGCTCCGAATCATTTGGGGCTCTCCGTTTCTGTTTAATCGCAATCAGGAGGGTTTGTCTATCGAGATTTAGGTTTCCTGTCAGTTTTATCGGTGGATACTGGCGTGATGCTCGATTTGGTTGGCGGCTACGTCTCGGATCTGAGAGCGCTCGGTCTCGATTCTGGGTTTCTTGGGCCGAGGAGGCGTTTATTCTGATCGCAGAATTTTGGGGGAAACCGTCATGTTTTGGAGAGAAAGAGAGAGGGACACGAGTGATGGGGAGCAGAACGGCGGTCCACCTTGTGGCCAGGTCCGTGTTCTCGTCGTCGGCGATGCAGGTATCTGATTGATGTAAAAAAAGCGCTGATCTTTGGATGGTTAGTCAGTTTCCTCGTTGATTTTTGTATATGTTTTCCGGCATGATTATTAAGTGGAACTATGCGGTTCTTTCATATTGCACTCTGGCAACGACAAGTGTAGGAAACTGCAAATATGCACGATTACAGACGCCTGATTAGCCATCCATTACTTGTGGAACTGATAGCTAAAATTCGAAGGACTCCTCATGCCCTGATCCGGTTTAATGAGATAACTGACACATTTATTATTTTTACATAGCTCAATTGCGGAAAATTATCCATGTAGTGGACCCCAGAAATTCAAGATCTTAAGGCTTGTTGTTGTTGTCGAAGAATTTTGGAAATCTCATAGTTCATATATTCTAAGTCTAGTTATTTGCTTTATCTTTCTAACCCAAGATGCCTTATTTTTTAATGATCAAGCTGCTATCTAATACTCTAATTGATATTTTGTGCACCTTCCTTGACCTTGACATATTTTTCATAAAGATTGGTACTTCCAAGTTCCAAACATACCGACAGTAAAATGATGATAAGTGTATATATTCATGAACATCCATGCACTATGTACGCATGAAGATAGTTCAGGAGTCATGTGGTGTGTGCTTCTGTGTGGATTATGTTGTTGTAGTGTAACCATTTCAATATTTGATCTTGTATTAGGTGTTGGAAAGACATCTTTAGTGCACCTAATATTGAAAGGCACTTCTATTGCTCGACCTTCTCAAACAGTGGGCTGTTCAGTGGGTGTGAAGGTAAAAATTATTTCTCTCTTTTTCTCCAAGCATAGGTATGTTTACTATGTCAATTTTCTGACAAATCTCATAATTTATCTTACCCAGCATATTTCTTATGGAAGTGCTAGCAGCTCTTCTAATAGCATAAAGGGTGATGCACAAAGAGACTTCTTTGTCGAGCTTTGGGATGTCTCAGGGCATGAACGTTATAAAGATTGTCGATTTCTTTTCTATACACAAATTGATGGTAAGTCTTTTCTTTCACAGTGTGACAATTGTCCATCTGAACTAGTTACCCAGTGCTGGATTCGTCTTAGTTGCTCAGGAAAATCTGTCTTAGATACTGTTTCTGGTATGTTATTATTACCATCATATTCTCATCATTATTTGCATCCTCAAAAGCAACAATGGTGAAAATTGTACTACCAAGTTATTACTTTTGGGTGCTATTACTGATTTTCTTGAGTCTAAATTTTATCGAGTTGATTCTGCTTATTATATCCTTAATTGCTTTCTTTGTGATAATATAAATATTTTAAGAATTTGATTAGTTTTTCATTTATCCTTAAACACAAGAACAAGAATGACGGTTATCTTAGTTACAATAAGCCTAGTGTTCAAATAACAAATTAAAATTGGTATTGAACATAGTTGAGCCTTGCTAAACTGTCTTATATTGTGTGAGTTTCTTGGCCACAATTTAGTGGGACTATAAAATAATGAAATGTCCCTTTGGCATCTTCGAGTTTTTGGGCACAATTTAGTTCCTAGAGTGACGGAACAATCTTCTTTGAATATATGGAGGTTTTTTGCTGTATCTCCTATATATTTGACCCTGAAGTCATGCATGAAAAGAATAGGAATACTCTGCATGCTGTTGTTTTAGTAAGTTCATAACTGAATGTTGAATTGTCATATATAAATTCCAAAGTTTCTATTCGCATAATTTAAGTAGGAAAGCACCAGCAACTGTTAGTTCAAGAATAAGAAATTTGTTCAATTAAATAAAATTTGTTTAATTAACAACATTGCTGGAAGTGTTTCCCATGGGGGTAGGCTAAGTAGGAGTTGAATGAAATTAAGTCACTTTCAGGAACCAATCAGTTGAATGACATTAAATCAGGTTTTAGGCACCAAAGCGCACAATCTTCTGTTGTTAACACAAGTTAAAATTTATAAGTTGAAGAGTTGGAACATTGACCAAGGCACTTAATCTAATTGCGAGTAGGCATATATGGTCAACAAGCTTGATGCTATTCTATTTTCTAGGACCTTAATTTGATTGATGGGTTTCTTCATTAGTCAGCCAGCTTCTTCAAATTTTCTCATTGTAAATATAGAGGATATGACGGTCAAAACTTTCTTTTTGTCTATATTATGTTGAACTATATAAGCTGTGCAGCTGGCAGTTTCATCTCCCGAAAGACAACTTTTTCATGGGCCCTTGAACTTGTTAAGATCCCTGCAGAAAAGCTATCACCCTACTTGGTGCTATAAAATTTGAAAATTATGGCTTACTGCAGCTTGTTTAATTTTAATGACAGATTTCTGTTTAGAAATTATTTCCTGGAGTTAAAAGGGATCTTAAATGAATCACTAGCATACGGACTACCCTTTTTTGTTCAGGTGAACTTTTTTCCTGGAGTTGAAAGGGCTTTGCAGTAAATCACAAGCATACAAACTAAATTAAGACTGCTACCCTACAAACTAGAATTTGTCATTAGTCTTCCATATGTAATATACACTAATGATAAGGGAAACCGGTTGGTTCATAGAATAGACTTCTTCTTTTTATTGTTTGAATTAATTTGATGTACAACTGTATCTGCATTAAATCGTAGTCACTTTTTCACTTGAAATTCCTTCATAGGTGTTATATTTGTTCATGATCTCTCCCAGAGGAGAACCAAAACAAACTTGCACAAGTGGGCTGCTGAGATCACAGCAAATGGTACATTTTCAACTCGTCTGGGTTCTGGTGGTCCTGGAGGCCTTCCTGTTCCTTATTTAGTTATTGGTAACAAAACTGATATTGTTGCCAAAGTGGGTACAAGGGTAATGAGCAGTGGCAATCTCGTCGATGTTGCTCGCCAGTGGGTTGAGAAACAAGGCCTCCTCCCTTCGAGCGAACAACTTCCATTGACAGATAGCTTTCCGGGCAATTCAGACCTATTGGCAGTAAGAAGTGCATTTTCAAATTTTGAGTTACTTTAGTACTCACGAGCAATTTAGGC